TGGGGGTGAGTACCTTGGCTGGGGTCAGGTTAGGGGTCATGTTGGGGTCATATTAGGTGGTGAAGAATCTCTCTCTCTCTCTCTCTCTCTCTCTCTCTCTCTCTCTCTCTCTCTCTCTCTCTCTCTCTCCACCAGGCTGGCTGGAGACACACAAACAACATCTCCAAACTTGACATTTAAAATTGTCTCCCTGAACCTGATTTAAGATTCCGTGTTCAATTTTTAAGTGTGTGTGTGTGTGGGTGGTGAACACTCCCCCTGACCTCAGCTGTCTTGTGTGTTCCAATACTGTGCCTTAACTTTACCCCAGAGATCAACTTCCCCGAAAAATACATAAACAAACACATCTTGACCTTTTCAACATTATTTCCCACGATATGGAAACTTTCAATATGTGGAATAATAGATAATATACATGTATAAACTTTCTCTTCTATATTATATTTTTTTTTTACAGGTGAACTTTGAGGATTTGTTAAAAGAATTAATGATAAAATATTTAACTAGTGGTACGAGTTTATTTTTCGTTTGATGTCACTTTCCTGACATTTAACGATAATCTCTGCAACATTTATTACGTTGAGTGAATCTCTAGAGTAAAGTTGCTGTTTTCGTTCACACGCCCGGCGGTACTCACTTGACTAATGGAGACTTTTTCCTTTGCGATGAAACCTATTTGGGTTTGATTCACAACTACGAATAAGTAAATGAAATAAAACTAAATAAAGGAGAAAAAGAATAAAATAATTAAAAGTGTATTCTAGTGACATTTCATCTTAGGATAAAAATAATGAAATACTTTACCTTATTGTTGTGTTACCTGAGCACTAATTAACATGGTGATGAGGTTTAAGTCTGCTAGGCCTATAAATGTGATTTACTTGTAATTAACCAATGACACCTGTAATTAACCTAGAACTAACATGTCATTTGCCTGTAATTAACCAATGACACATGTAATTACCCTGTAACTAAAGTACCATTTACCTATAATTGACTAGTGACACCTGTAATTAATCAGTGACACCTATAATTAACCATTGACTTAGAATTAACCAGTGACCCTGTAATTAAGCAGTGATACCTGTAATTTTCCTGTAATTCACGTGCCATTTACCTGTAATTAACATGATCACTTACCTGCCATTAACGTAAACCTTCGTGGCCGCCTACAGGAGCTGAAGCTGGACTCGAGTGACGTGGACGGTGACTACGTGTGGTGCTCCTTCGTCAGACCTCTCACAGGGCAGGACAACGACCTCCTCAACCTCAAAGACCCCCACTACTACTTCTACTTCTGGGGCATGAGGAACGCCTCTAGTAAGTCCTGGGGAGCATACTTCTGGGGGCATGAGCAATAGCTTTAGTTGGTTCTGGGGGCATGGAACAGTTCTAGTGGGTCCTGGGGGCATACTTCTGGGGTCTGGGGCATGATGAACAGCTCTAGTAGGTCGTGGGAGCATACTTCTGGGGTCTGGAGCATGAGGAACAGCTCTAGTAGGTCGTGGGAGCATACTTCTGGGGTCTGGAGCATGAGGAACAGCTCTAGTAAGTCGTGGGAGCATACTTCTGGGATCTGGAGCATGAGGAACAGCTCTAGTAGGTCGTGGGAGCATACTTCTGGGGTCTGGAGCATGATGAACAGCTCTAGTAGGTCGTGGGAGCATACTTCTTGGATCTGGAACATAAGGAACGACTGTAGTAGGTCCTATGGGTATGCTGTTAAGAGTATATTATATGGAGTATATTAGAAACATGTCACTCTGTCACTGATGGTATGCTGGTATATGCTGTTATGGATATACTGCTGAGGGTATATCTCTGAAATAGTCGCACGTGTTGGGGGTTACATTACGTGGGTATATCAGGAACAATGAATATATTGTATATATGTTTGTTGATATAGTTAATATATGAATATACTGAAATGTTTTGGTATACTAATAATAGTTGCCGTAGTTGTTGTTGTAATAATGATAATAATAGCAGTACTAGGAACATTATTATTATTATTATTATTATTATTATTATTATTATTATTATTATTATTATTATTATTATGGTTTCTCATAATAAATGCTCACCTAAAACAAACCTTTATCACACCCTTCCCTACTTCCCCTTCTCCTTCCCCTTCTCCCCCCCCCCCTTTTCAACCCCCTTCCCCCCCTTAGACATCTTCATGCCATCATCCAACCACATCAAGAGTTCGGGGAGGATGATGAGCCTCAAGGACGACCTTTTCAACCAGATCGCCTACAGTGGGTCGAGGAGTCACCGCCGCGTCCCGTATACCATAGTTGCCGCTGCCATCCTCCTCCTCGGGGTCCATTTTCTGTGTTGGTGAAGGTACAAGACTCTACGTGGCAGGTCTACCCTGGCTCGCGTCATCATCGTGTCCGTTTATTTATTTCTCGTGTCTTATTCCGTGTTTCTTATTTATCTCTTCATCGTTGGGGAGACGTATGTGGAGTTGAAGGAGGTGTTTTAGTGTAGGTGTGTGGGGTGTTGGGGGTGTGGGTAGGGTGTAGGCTGTGGGGTGTAGTGTGGGTGTGTGGGGGTGTAGGGTTGTGAGGTGGTCTCAAAGGATGGGTGTGGTGGGGTGTGTGGGGGTGTAGGGGTGTGTGGGGGTCTCAAAGGGTGTGTGGGGGTCTCAAAGGGTGTGTGGGGGTGTCGTTAATAATGCCCTAAGTTAATCCGATTTTCACTCAAGAGAAATTAATTTCTCAAGAATTACTGCATAAAAATATTTTGGTTCTTTAATAAGACGAATTTAATGTTTATGATTAAAATAAATGAAAGAAAGAATCAGGTAGGAATTAGTTATTGAATTTATACATTATACACGTTAATCTCTCTCTCTCTCAGTGAACCAGTTTGTGATATATATAAAAAATCGACCCAAGATTCAATGATTTTATTTTAGTTCTTCATGTAGTGATGTTCAGCTTGTGGTGTTTTAACCTTTGTTGTCTGTCTGTCTTAGTCTCTTTTTCTTTGGATAATTTTCATCTTATCTTTCTGCCATACTCTCTCTCTCTCTCTCTCTCTCTCTCTCTCTCTCTCTCTCTCTCTCCATAAGTATCCCTACAGCTCGCACAGTCATTAAGTCTTATTTACTTGAGACATGCAAATTTACATGTCCTTTACCTGTCGTTTACCAGTCATTACCTATCATTCACCTGTCATTCACCTGTCATTCACCTATCGTTTACCTGTCATTTACCAGTCATTCACCTGTCATTTACCAGTCATTCACCTGTCATTTACCTATCATTTACCTATCATTTACCTATCATATACCTATCAGTAATTTACCTGTCAACCAAGTTCCATTATCACCACAAATTAATTAACGTCATTATCTCTTTTTGTCTATCTGTTAAGAGTGTTCTCCTTCACTTTCACCACCACGAAAGCGCTTGGGAACTTCGTGTTTTCTTCTTTCCTTGTGGTTATCAGCACACACACATATATATATATATATATATATATATATATATAATAATAAACCTCAATAAACTATAATATGAAAACCTGCTTTGGTATACGTGATATTATTTGATGATTCTGTGGAGTTCCGATTTTTTTTTCAACCGACTCGAATGTCACCCCCACGGTCATGACGTCATATGTCAACAAATCGAGGGTGTCTGTCTCTGTCTGTGTGTCTCTCTCTCTCGTTCTCTCATCCAAAATACCATTAACCATTACACCTGCCGACCCTCACACAGGTATCTGCTATCACAAGGAACTAAGAGCAAATTGAATACCATTGGGGAGAGGAGAAGGTATATCTGTTTACTCAAGTCTTGGTGGTAGATTACTTTTAGGGGAAAAAATATCTCGTTATGTGTACAGATGAACCTTTGAGACTCCTCCATCTTTGTGTGGTTAGCTTAAGTGAGTCAGGTAGATACGTTCTGATATCATGAGTTAACCTCTCCACTCCTAACCTCTCCACTCCTACTCACTCAAACACTCATTATAACAGGATGTACAGACAGTCAGCTTGCTTTCCCAGTCACACAGTCAACCTTCCCCAGTCATAGAGTCTAGCCCGGATCGTCTGGCCAAGATGGATGAAATTACATATGTAGATTTCTATTGTCTGGGGAAGCGTCATGAATCAAGTGTCTCAGTTATCGGGGGCGTGTGTTTACTTTAGGGGGGTTTAGGGGGTGGAGAGGGGTTATTATTATTATCTGGGGGTGAAGGGGTGTGGTTGAGGGGGAAGGGGAGGGGCGGGCTCGTCTTGTTTATATTGCTATCTGATATGTACCGTTCGTCGTAGCGTTGATGAATCCGACTTGAAGATCCGGATTCATTGAGTTTTGTTTGTGTATCAATTTCCTCCGTAATTGATGTGAGGGAATTCTTCATATTTACATGCGAGTCAAGGGGTATTATTGACGCCATTTTTGGGTATGGTGTGTCTTGGGTATAGCCTAAATTGGGGTAGTTTAGAAGCGTTTGTAGTGTGTGGTGTTAACAGGAGAGAAATTAGCAAAAGGTTGTTGGTCTCTCTGAGGCAGACGTCATACGAGAGAAAGTTGCAATATTTTTTGGCCTGAATACAACGAAAGGAGGAACGAAGGAAGGAAAAAAAAGTAAGAAAGAAAGAAAGATCGCAGAAAAAACGAAATAAAGGAAAACAGAAGACAGGAAACAGGAAATAAAATTGATAGCAGATTCATATCGTAACCAATCATAAAAAAATCGATCAGGTTTTTACCCATATTTACAGATTTTTTTTTTACCGTGGAAATTATTTTTTTTTATAATGGTGACGCGATACATTGGTACATTATTTGTTACATTTATTTACATTTCATCCCACACGCTGTAAATGAGCCATAGTGTATAAAAATAGAGTAAAATAACATGTTAACTAGTAAGTGCAAGAATAATGTGTTGGAGTACAGGTCTAGCTACGGTGAGTGAGGCAATTTGGCGTTCCAATATTATTTTCAGGTAGATCACGACGCGAGGTTCTCAGTGTAGCGGCAAAGTCTTTTAAAACCATGTAAACACAACACAAAATGACTATATATTTTTTTTTATTTGTGAGTTTTATTTTCTGGAGTTTTGATGACGACTGAGAATATAGTTTGTAATTATTAAAAGATTCTTAATTACCTTTTTTGAGAATCTGTTACTGTAGCGAAGACCATTTATTAGTACAGTAATAGAGAGATATTGCTCAAAGATAATGATAATATATGCAGTAAATACCCTATTATCCGGCTTATAGTCAACTACGTATATTACAACACACCGGCTATAGGAGTCTTTGCTTTATAAATATATATTATACTGTATAATGTTTCCACTGATATATTCCACAAATATTCTTAGTAAATTTCTAAATAATAGTAAATGTTATAAAAAAAATCAATATTGTTTTTTATTTATTTATTTATTGTAACTAATTAATAAGTTACCAGTTAGTGTTAATGTTGGATGATAGAGTTTTATTGTACATGTATATGAAGAATTATATATAAAGTACTAATATTAAGGATATCAGTGTTACCAACGCAGAGATATACCTTCTTGTTGTAACGCTATATCACCGAGTTAAGCTATCTATCTATCTCTATCGGTCTATCTATCTATATATTGCTATCTATCTATATCTATCTATCTATCAATCATAGTATACCTAAAAGCACCTAAATATTGTTATAAAACTCAATTCAAAGTTTATCCCACTAGCCAGAGGTACCAGTTCACAAGCTGGTCGACCATGGGTACCCAGGTCGTGAATCAACGGCCCTATATTATACCTTGCAACTAAGTGTCTGTCCATTTATATAAGTAATTTTAAGTACTGGGTTAAGTAAGTCATGATAGCACACACTTTACCACTTGGATTTTAATGGAAAAGTTGATTGTTTTTTTGGAAGTGAAGCTGTGTGTGGATTTGTGAGGTGTTTGTTTGTTTGTTTATGTAAGTGTTGGAAATAAAGTTATGGTAGTGAGTTGTGTGTTTTTAATGTGTGTCTTTTTTTAGTACTTAATTACTTATAAGGTTACTTATATTCTTATTTACCCATTCACTCATTCACCCACGTAGTCATTCACTCATTTACTCATTCACTCACTTTCCCACACACACTCACACACCTAATACGTTCTCACATTCACTCAACCACGCACTCTCACTCACTCACTCACAACTACAACCTACAACCTGCTATAACCTGCTACAACCTGCTATAACCTGCTACAACCTGTCTATTTTGACCTTCACTTGACTAACACTGAACTAATTACTGCTAAGATTAATTAGGTCTTACTCATGCCCTGACCCTCGGGGCTCTAAAACTTGAACTTTAAGCCCTGAGTCATAAATTTTAGCAGCCCACAACCCTAAACTTTAAGCCTTTGAACTTTGACCCCTCAGTCCTGACCCTTGACCCCTCAGTCCTGACCCTTGACCCCTCAGCCCTGACCCTCGACACCTCAGCCCTGACCCTTGACACCTCAACCCTGACCCTTGACACCTCAGCCCTGACCCTTGACCCCTCAGCCCTGACCCTTGACCCCTCAGCCCTGACCCTTAAGCCCTCAGCCCCCAGCCCTGAGTCCTGCAGGGTGTGGTAGACGTGTGGGATCAGGACCCACATTCTCCTTTACTCCCCTTTCACTGTCCGCCTCAACCCTCCTACTGCTGTGAGGAGGAGGAGGGGAAGAGAGGGAGGAAGGGAAGGGTTTTGGGAGGTGGAGGAGAGAAAGAGAAGATGAGGAGAGGAGAAGGAGGGGAAAAGGGGAGAGGTGAGAAAATAAATGGCAGAAAATTGGGAGAGTGATGGGAAGTGGAGGAGAGAAGGGGGAAGAAAGGGAGGATGAGGAAGAGAAGAAGGGAAGGAAGAAGAGAGGAAGGAGGAGGTGATTAAGAGAAGAAATACGAATAGGAAGATTGGGAGGAAGAGGGGGAGAAGGAGGAAGGGTGAGAATATAGAGAACAGGAAAAATAGACGAGGAAACACACACACGCGCGTGTACGCACACACACACACACACACATACATACACAGGTGATAGAATAGGAGCAGGTGGATGTGAAAGGTGAGACGGGCCTATAGTCTCTCTCTCTCTCTCTCTCTCTCTCTCTCTCTCTCTCTCTCTCTCTCATAATACCGATAATAGAGGTAATAACAAAACAAACAACGACAACAAAGTACAAACAAAAGTAAAAAGTAAACTAAGGTAAAGTAAAGTAAACAAAAGTATATATAAAAGTAAATATAAGTAAACAAAAGTATATATAAAAGTAAATATAAATAAACAAAAGTAAATATAGATAAGCAAAAGTAAATAAAAATAAAAGTAAACGAAAGTAAACAAAAGAGGTCAGAGTGTAAGAAGAGGCGGAAACACTGACAGTCGGCCTGAACTAAAGTGAAGTAAAAAGAGGAGGTGAAGTATACTGGTGATAGTGCCCCACTGAGAGGTCGGCGGACGGCCTTGCTGTAGGTGCTGTGTGTGGTGGAG